AGAGCCTGAGAGACTCAAAAGGGACCCAAGACATGGTCATTTATTTCATTCAAATTTATGTGTTTATTTTGATGCCAGGAATCAAACCCAGGGGTTCTTAACCCTGAGCCACATCCCCAGCCCTTTTTAAATATTTTATTTAGAAACAGGGTCTCGCTGAGTTGCTTAGGGCCTCACTAAGTTGCTGAGCCTGGCTTTGAACTCGTGATCCTCCTGCCTCAGCCTCCCAAGCAGCTGGGATCACAGACATGTGCCACTGTGCGCAGCTTCCTTCGACTTCAGAAAGTGTTTCCCAGCCCCTGGTTTATCAGCATTTGCCTGCGATTTTGCATTCTTTATGCTATGACCTTTCTTTATTTCCTCCAACAAGTTTGGGAAACTGTAACATGTTGGGGAAGTGATGACCGAGCCACTCCACCCTCTCATGACACGTGGCCATCCTGGGCATGGGAGAGATCCACAGTCTATAAATCATGCCTCTCTATTTCCTGCATTTCAGGAGTCTTGACACCTGGGACTTTGCTAATTTGGAGCGATGCCCCTCTCAGGATGAGCCAGTTACTAGGAACAGTTAAGGACATCCCTAAAAGCACACCTTTCATATGCAAACTGAACAATCCAAAACCTACCCACCTCCCGTCTAGCCCACCCACCTCCTCCACCAGATTCTCCCTGCCCCCGTCAGCTGAGGGCCAGCTGACAGACAACAAGTAGGGACAGCCCTCACATCTCAGAGCCCACTGGAATTACCCCAAACTGTCTGCCCTGCCCTGCCTTGTTCCATCACAATAAAAGAAAAAGAGAATGTTGCTCAGTGGTAGGACATTTGCCTATCACGTGCAAGGCTGTGGATCCCTAGCATTGCAAATAAAGAAATAAAGTTGGATTAAAATGGAAAATATTTTTTTAAAAATACGTCTGTCAAACAGGAGTAAAAAACAAAACACTACAAGCGTTTGATAAGTTCATCCTTTACGGTACTTCATTTACTTATATTGTAAAGATTTTCTTTATTCATTTATATTCGAATTTTAAAAGGTGAAAGTTGACAAGAAGAGAAATACCAGCCTTTGAGAATATGAACCAGAGGTGTGGAGGCCCATCTCCCAGCCGGCTCTGAGTTCCTGATGTGTGTCCTAACATTGTAATGGGAGTGAGGCGGGTATTCTGTTTTCTTGTTGTGCTGGAGCATGTGTGCACAGCGAGAACACACTAAGTCATGATGAGCACTGTGAAAGGAACTTCTTAAATGCCAGTGTGTATTTGTTGTTAACAAGACTGCAGGGGCTGGGGATACAGCTCAGTTGGAAGAGTCCTTGCCTTGCAAGCACGAGGCTGTCTAGAACTTTCTCTAGAATTAAGAAGAGATTTCACTTCTGCTTTATTTCTCTTTTATCTTACACTCATTAAGAATGGTGCTGCCGGGGTGCAGTGGCCCATGCCTATAATCCTAGCAGGTTGGGAGGCTGAGACAGGAGGATCGCAGGAGTTCAAAGCCAGCCTCAGCTATGGCAAAGCACTAAGCAACTCAAAAAAGAGACCTTGCCTCTAAATAAAATACAAAAAAAAAAAAAAGGGCTGGGGAGGTTGCTTAGTGGTTGAGTGTCCCTGAGTTCAATCCCCAGTATCAAAAAAAAAAAAAAAAAAATAGAATAGTGCCTACAGATGTTCAGTGGGAAAATGTGGGTTTCCTTTTTTCTTGTTGTATTGTTTAATTGTACATGACAAGAGAATCCATTTGGACGTAATTACACCAGCATGGAATACACATTATTCTTTTTCTGACATCAGTACCTCTCCATCTCCTTCCCTTTCTCACCCTCTGCTTCCTTCCCTCTATTGATCTTGCTGCCATTTACCCAGAGGTATTTTTTAAGTTCATTTCTTGTGGATGCCCATGAGGGTGAGATTCACTCTGGGGTCTTCATATATGAACATAGGAAAAAGTCACAACAGATTCATTCCACTGTCTGTCCTTTTCCTGTCCCTCCTCCCTTCCCTTCACTCCCCTTTATCTAAGGCATGGAACGTCTATTCTCCACACAAACACACTTTGTGGGTTAGCTTCTACCTAACAGAAAACAGTCCACCTTTGGTTTGGGGGGATTGGTTTATTTCACTTAGTGTGATAGTCTCCAGATCCATCCATTTATGGCTGAGTAATAGTACCCTGTGACCTAAACTAACCCCTTCCATGTTGCTTGCGGCAAAGAGACTAAGGGGTTATAAAGGGAAACCAGTAATGACCGCAGTCTTATGATACCTAGGATACTCCGGCAATGGAAGTGGTACAAAAATGTCAGACAGATGCCTGCCTCTTTGGGGCCCGTGGAGACTTGGGATAGAACAGGATGGATAAAAACCTCTTTTACTTAAGAAAAAGTTAATGAAGAGGGAAAGTGAGAACAATCCAGAAATGGGAAAATATTGAGGCCTGAGCGCTCATGGCCCCGTGTGAGGAAGCACATTGGCTGGGCAGAGCTAGTACCTTGAGTCAAAGGAACCAGGCAGACATAGTCCCCAGCTGCAAGGTGGCACTGCAGCTGGGTCTTCTGTATTCTCAGGAGCCAAAGGAACTTGAGTCCCTGCCAAGAACGGTGCATGCGCCATACTGAGACTAGGTCAGCGTGAGGTTGGACACTCTAACAGCTGTGGCAGCTCCGATCCAAGACACTGAGGTAGTTCCTCCCAGGTAGCACAGGTGGCTGCCAACTCTATGCCTGAATTACCATTTTCTCTCCGTGACAACATTGGGACCTACTGTAACAGAGGAGACCAACAGCCTCACACGGATACCACCAATGTGCTACCTGGAAAATATTCACTCAGAGGGAACGTGGTTTGCAAGCAACCCCTCCCTCACACTACCCCAGGAGGTTTAGGGAGCTGGCCAGCATTTCCAATTAACTTGGGCAAATAGCAGCTGTTTTTAAATTTGATTCCATAATTACCTGGGGTCTTTAAATACCCTGAGAGATGCCACATTTCTGAGCTGCTCTATCGTAATTTCTGGAGAGGGGTTTGAGAGTCAGGAGTCAGCCAAACTTCTCCAGGTGATTTCAAAGTGCATCAAAATTGGAAAACAAGTAGATTATAGCCTTGCCCCTAGAGAGAGGTCTATGCCCAGCAAAAATAAACTCAGTATTTATCCTAAGGAGTTTAAAGACATCACACTAAAGCAATCCAAGCATTCCCCTGTTTAGAGTAACATAATTCCCAATAGCTGAACTATAGGACCAGCCTAGGGGTCCATCAACAGATGTATGGTTGAAGAAAAGGTGTTATAGAGACACCATGGAGTTGTATTTAGCCATAAAGAAAAATAAAATTATATCACTGGCAGGGAAATAGATGAACTTAATAAAGTGAAATAAGCCAAATCAGAAGGTCAAGGGGTGTACATTGTCTCTCTCATGTAGAAGCTAGGGAGGAATCCTTGGAAATCTGGGAATGGAACCACCATTTGACCCAGCTATCCCTCTCTGTGGTCTATACCCAAAGGACCTAAAAACAGCATACTACAGGGACACAGCCACATCAAGGTTTATAGCAGCACAATTCACAATAGCTAAACTGTGGAGCCAACCTAGATGCCCTTCAATTGGATGAATGGATAAAAAAATGTGGCATATATACCCAACCAGATTTTACTCAGCAATAAAAGAGAATAAAATCATGGCATTTGCAGGTAAATGGATGGCACTGGAGAAGATAATGCTAACTGAAGTCAGCCAATCCCCCCAAAAACAAATGCTGAATGTTTTCTCTGATATAAGGAGGCTGACTCATAGGAGGGTAGGGAGGGGAAACATGGGAGGAATAGATGAATTCTAGATGGGGTAGAGGGGAGGGAGGGGAAGGGAAGGGGCAGGGGGTTAGCAAAGATGGTGGAATGTGATGGACATCATCATCCAGAGTACATGTATGGAGACACGAATTGGTATCAACAAACTTCATATACAAGCAGAGATATGAAAAATTGTGCTGTATATATGTAATAAGAATTGTAATGCATTCCACTGTGGTTTATTTTTAAAAAATCAATGAAAAAAAAAGAAAGATGTGTGCATGTGTTGCAGGGGGCGATCTCCCTAAAAATTCAAAGATCAGCAGAGGAAAGAAAGGGAGAAGGGAAGGGAAGAGAAAGAGAAATGATATTGGCCAAATTCTTTTACGTGTGGAGTGTGTGTACGAATATGTAACAACAAATTTCACCATCACGTTCAACTATAATACACCAATAAAAATATGGAAAAAAATTTCTCATTTGGGAAAAGGAAAAAAGGAAAAGTAGCAGTCTGTGGGCTTGTAGAAGAGCCAGAAATGCAGAATCCCAGGTCCCACCCCGACCTGTCTCAGAGGTTTCTGAATCCCAGCCCCAGTGCTTCATTTGCACATTAAAGTTTAATAAGTACCAGAATGTCCTTTAATGGGGCCTAATGGGACCTGCTAATTGTAATTATCTTGCATAAACGGGAAACTCTGAATAATGTAGCAACACTGATGGGGGAGGGGGGATAAGAATTGAAAAGAGACAGAGACTGGAGTAGGGAGTGGCCAGCAGAAAACAGGACAAAGAGGCTTCAAGAAATGGAAAGTTGCTGGTGGTTTCTTTACTTGCACAGGTTGATTTTCACACTGCAGTGAACTTTCCAGGTAGAGTCCTGTGAGCTGCTGGTTTCATTTGTCACCATTGAAAGCTCACGATGTGACAAGACCCCTTCAAACGCTTTACGATCTCATTAAGCTCCTCTTGATTGAGTCTCACCCACCTTGCAGAAGGTACGTAGGTTTTCTATCACAAACTCATTTCATAGCCTGGAGTGCCTGGAACATCAGCTTCATTTCCACCCAGTGACAGGGATCAGCAGGACTTCCCCATTCCCAAGGTCTCCCAAGACATCCTATCGTAAGCTGGCCAGCATACACATCTGCAGCCAGTGAAACCCATCACACACCCACCACTCACTTACGGACAGGAGACACCAGCACCTCCCAGCCAGGGTGTCATTATCTGAAACTTTATTGTAATATGTTCCATGATTTTCAGAACATCACTGCAACTAGAAACTTGTATGCAAGGGTGATTTTTAGACCTGCAGAGTAAATAAAATATAAGAGAATGGAATTGTAACAATAGATACACCTTAATATAAATATACATATTGATATCCCACACATATAAAAGTCATGCTCTGCAAATACTTTGTCTACAGACGATCTGTGGGCTACTGGATTCCAAGATATCTTCAGGGATTTACACGTGTCCCATTCCTTATGGATATTTCCAGAGAGCTTATGTAGGTGCAACACATTCCAAATTTGGGGGAGAAAAAAAGTATCACAGAGCGATTTTTTAAAATATTGAGTACATCTTTTGTTCTACAAAGAATGAGCCTTTCTTAAATATTACAAACAGTGAAACAAATATACTAGCTTACAGATATGTACAGTTTACTACTTTAATATTTCAAAAATGCAGGAAGATAAACTATATAATATACATAATTTTAGATAGAGTGAACAATTCAATATTGCTCTTGTGTTGGTCTTGCTGCATTGTATGCATGCCAATGGCTTGTCACTGGATGGAGAGGGGACCAGTGGGGACAGAAGGGAACTCATGGAGCCCCATGCATAATCCCACAGTGCCATCTTCAAAGCAATATTTTGAGTTTTAGAACTTTCTAGGACTGGGTTAAAAACCGTTTGCACCCATGTGCAGTGTAGGACATATTCTCAGGAATCACCACTCCATATTTGAGGACGGGAACAAACACATGTTGAAATCCACCTGCTCAGTGCCACTAACCCCTCAAGTCCCAAGTCAGTTGGGGAGCTCCCGAAAGACGAGGATGATATAACCGTCAACATCCTCAGGTGGGTTCACAAAAAAGATGGCAGAATGGAGCCCCAGGATGGAGGCTTCCTTCCTTCCTACCCTATAAACCCTCAGGCGAAGAACAAAGGGATGGAGTGTGTCCTGAGTGAGCTCAGATTGTCAATCATTATAAGATCCTCAAATCGATGAAGCCCCAAGCACTCAAACATGGAGAAATTGGCTTCCAAGGAAAGAAATCCTGACTCATTTTGGGTGGGAATTGGAAATGGGACACTTGGCAGGAAGCATTCACAATAAACGCCTTATTAACATGACAGCTGGTGGCAAAGATCATGGTTTACTGTTAGACAGAACACACCCAACTCTAGACAATCCCCGTTGGCCATAAAGTTCTGTAACTTCTTCCATTGCCTTCACATTCGGGTGACAAACTAATAATCTCTGAGAATAGGAAAAACTATGTAGGGACACGTTGGAAAACACGTTCCAGAATATCCAACAACGAGATCTCACGGGGAATGGGATGGAATACTACGGAATGGCCTTTGGAAGGCACCTGTATGAAGCATTTAAAGAGGGCCTGGGAATGGCCCAATGACATGAGCTCCCTGCTGGCTCCCTTCCTTTCTCAGCATGATCATTTCCCCAGGAAAAGACAAGGGAACTCTTTTCTAAATCCCAAAGAGATGGTAAGACCGTGAAGCCAAGGAGACTCACTGGTAGAGCCCCGGATGAGACCAGGTAAGAGAACTGAATAAGAAAGGACTAAAGGAAACTAGGAAATACTGAGAGCCCAAGTATGCTTTGGAGGATGAAGGTGTCTATGTGGCTGTGACAGGAAACCCTGCACAGGAAGGGTCATCAAAATAGCAGGTGCAGAAGGCAGTTTGTGTAACATCTCCAGCTGGGAAGTCCTGCCTGGGGTTGGCACTGATGCCCAACATCCAGGAAGACCCTGTCTGCAAGAAGCGTGCACTGCTGCCTACCCAGATGGCCAAGAGGATGATCCACCAGTTGGGGCAGGCATGCATTCTGCCAACTAAAACAGGAAAACTCAGGCTTTGTGGGAATTTCTCAAGAAGCAGAGCCCAACCACCATGGCAGAACGGTTAAGGTGAGTAGGCTCTGCCCAGGACAGAACAGCCAGCCTGTGTACAGACACCATCACCTCCCATGCCTCCTGCAGGAACTAGCAGTGGCTGGAATTTGGTTTGAAGTATTAAGGATGCACACACAATCATTAAGAGAAGAGGACCATGGTTTCTAGGGTGGACACTGCATTGAACAGGTCTTTAAGGATGTGTGTAATAGAACATGCAAGAGTTTGCTATTGATTAAATGCATTGTCCAGGAATACAGTCCTGATTTGGATAGGTCATCAAAAACACAGTGAACAACTTCTGTTGCAAAATATTTCATGAAGGTGCAAAGTGTAGCCTATACATGTTCACGTCACTTAGAAAAATGATGTGCTTCTGGTCACTGGATGGCCTTTGTTGGCTGTTACCCAGCTGGGTACAGATCAAGTTATTGAAGAAGAAAACAAAAATCTTGGAGGGGCCAGGGGAATTTTTTTTATTCTAAAAATAGCTACTTTATTTGCTTGAATTTAAAATCTGAGGGGTAGAAGTTACAGCCCTCAGGGGCGAAAGGAAAGAAACTTCACATTCTAAAACCCTCAAAGTATAACACAGGAATATTATTGCGATGTTTGAATAATGGTGTCACAATACCTTTACTCAAAACTTGAAGAACTTCTGACACAGCAGTGTGCTATGCGTGAACTCATCCTGGTAGGTGAAAATAAATAATGAGTCGTCAGCTAACATGACACTAGCTCACTAGGTCTACAGGAGGTGAATACATCCCCTTAGGGTAGGATCCGGTGGGAATTAACTGAGGATGCACATCCTTTGAGGAAGGCTGGATTACTTTATCTTTAATACAGTTAAAAATCTATGGAGGGGAGCCACCGGGGTTCACTTTGGACCGACTGGGTTTCCCACCAACTCTGCCTGACGGTTCCCTCCTCCCCCCAAAGACGTAATTGACTTCTGAGCAGAGAGAAACGGCTGGTTTGGAGTCGGTGCCGGGTAGCTCTGGCTCTCTCTCGTGCAGGCAGGTGACATTCAGCCTTCCCAGCTTCTGCTGCTTTGAAGGGTATGAGTCTTCCTACCTCCTCGTGGCAGAGGCCGCCCTCATCAATGACCGTGACCTCTCTCAGTTCCCTGGGATGCTGAGCGCGCTGGCTTTGGATGTCACCGCCTGGCAGACGGGGCGACTCCACAGAGGGGTGGCTTATTGTCACTGGTGGGGGGTGTGGGATGCCTTCTTGGGGACACTAGGGCGGGCCTCGGTCAGGTGCCAGGTTCTAACACGTGGGCATCGGACATGCTGCCCGGACAATGGGTTCACGTGGGGTGGGGAAGGGGCGAGGCCGGGGGACGCAGGGGCTCCTTCACATGACCACGCACTTGCCCTTGAGCTTCTCTTTCCGCTTCTGCTGCTTGCTCTTTTTCCCGTCGATCTGGAGGCTCACGGTCCTGCGCTTCTCCAGGTTGAGCAGCTCCTGGAACAGCTCCTTGACGTTGTGGTTGAGCTTGGCCGAGGTCTCCATGAAGGCGCACTTCCAGGAGCGCGCCAGGGCCTCGGCCTCGCCGCTCGGCACCTCGCGGCTGGGGCTCTCGTCGCACTTGTTGCCCACCAGCATGATGGGGATGCTGTCCACGTCCCCTTTGATCTCGCAGATCTGCTGGTAGATGGGCTTGAGCTCCTCCAGGGACTGCCGGCTGGTGATGGAGTACACCAGGATGAAGGCGTGCCCCTTGGAGATGGACAGGCGCTGCATGGCCGGGAACTGGTGGCTCCCCGTGGTGTCGGTGATCTGCAGGGTGCAGATGCTCTTGTCGCAGCTGATCACCTGCCGGTAGGTGTCTTCCACCGTGGGGATGTAGCTCTCCCGGAAGGTGCCCTTCACAAACCGCAGGACCAGGGAGCTCTTGCCAACGCCCCCGGCCCCGAACACGGCCACCCGGTAGTCGTTGCTCTGCTCAGGCATGTTGCTGCAGGGCTCCCACCGTCCACCGGGGACACCTGGCGGAGGAACCAGAAGTGGAGAGAATGAATTTATAAAAAATCAACTTTGGAAAGTATGACTTTGCTTTCTTTCTGACTCTGCTTCCACTCTCCCAGCCCAAGAACAGATTTCTTTTAGAAACATCCACGATTCTAAATTCAATAAACGCGCCCGATCCCCCGTCTCCCAGAGGGCAGCTCATCTGCGCAGGAGCCAAACTGGAACCAGGCTGTTTCTCCTTCTTGGATCCTGACTCTGAGCAAGTTTCATCACACACAGACCCTCTGCTCAGGGAGAAGATGCAGAGTCTTCCAGATGGGGAAGAGGGGTGGGAGGGAAAGGGGGGCGAAGGGGAAGAGCATGGGTGGTGGAGCATGGGAAGGAGACCCTCCTCATTATACAACATACATGTATGAAGATGTGAGTTTGGTGTCCACGTACCTTATAGACAGCCAGAGATATGGTAGAATGTGGTCTAAAGGTGTATTGAGAATTGTAATGCAAAATAATAATAATAATAATAAAGAGCTCATGTATACTGGCATAATTTGGAGTGAACAAATTTTATACACAGAGTTACAAAAAAATGGTGTTGTGAATGGATAATTATGATTGTAATGCACTCCACTATTGTCAGATATGTAAGAAATTTAAAAAAAAAAAAAAGGAGATGCAGAGTCATCCCAAGAGGGACAGAATCAAGGATAGGCAATGGGAGGAGATGAGAGATTCACCAATGCCCTGAAGACACAGACACACACACACACACACACACACACACACACACACACACACAGCATGTGTGATTTTTTTTTTAATATTTGGAGGGAGGAATGAGGAAGCTTTTAATATTTATTTAAAGTTCATGTTAACTCATGAAATCCTACCACCTTGAAGAAGCTGGTGTCACTATTTCTGATGTGTCATGTTGAAACTGGAAACACAGAAGGGCTCAGGACGACAGTGTGATTCAGCCAGCGAGGAACAAGACTGGACACCAACCAAGGCACTATGGATGCCAGGCCAGCCACAGGCTGTCTGTAGAAGGGCTGGTCATGGTGTCCTGGGCATTATTCAAGCAGAGACTATCACCACCATGTAGACAGACTTAAAAGTTAACTAAGAAGCTTGGGTAGTCGTTTTATTCATCGAACCTAAAATGATGTGTTTTATTTTTAAGAATCACAAGGAATGGAATATCAGCAGGCTCGCTGTCATTAAAATTATTAGCCGCCATTAAAACTGAGTAGAATGGACCTTCCTTCCATCACAAACCTGACCCCTGGTCCATGGGAATTGTACATGTGTTTTTTTTCATTTATAAACCATCAAATATCTTTTATCCTGTCTCCTCTTTGGCAAGGAAGGACATAAGATGCAAAAAACAAAGAAATAAGCAATATTCACATTTTTTAAACTAAAACAGAGAGGTAAATCTAACGCAAATCCTGGAATCCATTCATTTCTGCAGACAAGCATTGTACTCATTTTCCCCTTTCTATTCCTAGAGTAATTATGGAATAATAATAAGCATTGCTGAGCAAAATCATTTTCAGAGTCCAGTAAAAATTATTAAACATAATTAACAATGGGAGGAAATGGGTTTAGGCAATGAATATATATATAATCTCCTGGCAGACAGAATGTCAGATCAAAGTCCAGACTGCAACCTCCCGTCTTCTGCTTTCCACACGCACATCTGCCTACAAATTAGCTCCATCAAATCCTCAGTTGTTCTTGTGCATACTTTGGAATCCTAGACCTACAAAGAAGTATCTATGATAAAAGAAGAAATAGAAAAATGTCAGGAAGTTCATTAACAAGAAAAGACTAAAAGAGAGCCTGCTGAAGAGTTTGATGAAGTGTATTCAATGCTCATGAAATAATCAAGATCAACCCAAGAGTGTAGGGTTGGGACAAATGAAATAAATTGTCATATAAGTTAAATCTAAAAAAAAAAAAAATCAGTGGCACATGGAACCTGATTGGAAGGTCCTCTGCATTCTCCAAGTGAGGCTTGGACGCTGGTTTTCTCACTCAGAATTGTTTAGTATTATGCTTATTTAACTCCAGAACTGAGTCCAAGAATCTAGCTGGAAGAAAACCTGTCCTAACAAGCCCCAAATCCCAATATCATCCAGAGATCTCTAGGTCCACGGGATTTGCTTTTTTTATGAGTTTGCTGAATATGGGAGCATTTCTTTTTGGTGCTAAGGCATCTCCATAATAAAACTAGCAACCAAAATAGAGATAGCAACTACTAAACATAAAAAGAATCATGGTGACTGTTTTTCATTTGTCCAGATAAATATCAGTTGAGCTTTGGCTACAGGCCAGGCTCTGGATGAGGGAACAGGAGACAACTGTGCAGAAGCGAGACCGATGCAGTGTCTACTCATAGAGTTCAGAATCAAGTGAGGCAGACGGAATAAAAAATATAACTTCACAAATATTTAAAAATGTACATCACAGGCTGGGAATATAGCTCAGTTGGTAGAGTGCTTGCCTTGCATGCACAAAGTCCTGGGTTCAATCCCGGGCACCACAATCCTGAGTGATATATATAGATATAAAACTAGTTCTGCAAAAGAGAGATCTAAAGGAACCACCTGATCAGACCTGGGATATCAGGAATAATGTCCCTGGTGGGAGATCTGGGGCAATAACTCTGCAATGACCTCTGTCTCAAACAAGTCTTATTCCAGCTGTAAATAATATTCCCTCACCTTAGAACTATTCGTGTATTTCACAAGCTTTCTGCAATACCTCCTACACACTATGCAACCTCAATGCTCACCTTCTAGCAGTAGCTAGCAGAAAACCTCAAGAATGGAAACATGACACCCCATGTGGAGGATGCTATCATGAAATTACAAACAAGGACCCAAGAAGAACGTAGTGGGGCATCGGATTCTGCCTGGAGCCCGGGAGGCAACTCACCAGATGGCTGGGGAATGAGAAGCATGTCCGTCAGGAGAAAGGATTTTATGGAAAGGAACAAATACAGGAAATAACACCGACATTCATCTCGGGGCAGGAAGTTGGTGTTAACTGGCATCTGGGAGTGGGTCTGAAGGAGCCAGCGTTATTACCCAAAGGGAAGACACGGGAAGGAGGTCTGGAGATAAGGTAGTGGCCAGGAAGGAGCTGCAGAGGGGCCCGGCTTGCAGGGCAGTGGGGGGAGACACCTGGTAGGTGACGGGGCTTTTGTTTAGAAGCTCAGCAGAGATCTACAAGCTAATGATAGATACAGGGATGTCATCCACACAAAAATAGCACTCAAACCTACAGAGCTCCCCCAGGAGGGAGTGGAAGGAGAAGAGCAAATGTCAGATCTGACTTGTACGATTAAAAGAACTCGTCGAGTTACTGAAACCGTCTGCATTTGAGTTGCATGAATGATAAAGTGGAGATGATAAGCCCCCTTCTTCACAGGGCTGCTGTGGAGGGAGGGTGTGCGAGACGGCACCACTAGGCGCTCAGCACAAGCCCCAGCCACGGGCTGTCTGGCTTCTTTCAGGAAGGATCAAGCAGAGAAGGGTCACCAAGGAGCAGGAAGATGGAAAGGGAGGAAAATGAGCAAGAAGGCGACAGGAAGCCCAGGGAGCAGGAGGTAGGAACACCGTCCAGAGGGGAACCGTAGCTACCAGCACCTTGTGCAGAAAGAACACAGACCTCCAGTCAGAATCCTGACCCTCCACCTTAAAGCTGTAAGGAAGAAAGAGCAAATCCAAGGAACACGCAGACTACAGTCTACGTTAGATTTACAGAATCATTAAAGAATAGAGGAAAATCAACAAAACCAAAAGTTTGGTGTTGGAGACAAATGAAAGAAAAATGCTAGAGAATTTGTGCTTTGAATTCACTCACTACAAGGCTAAAATAGTCCACACAGCGTGGTACTGGCACAGTATTGACATAGAGAGGCCTAGAATAGAATCCAGAGTCCAGAAATAATCAATTGATTTTTGACAAAGCTCCCAAGGAAATTCAATGGAGAAAGAATAGCCCTTTCAACAAATGTGCTGGGCGTCCGCACGCAGAAGAATGACACTGGAGCCCTCCCTCACACCATATAATGAAGTGACACCAAACGGATCAAATACCTAAGCTAGAAGACTCTCGGAAGAAAACACAGGCCTAAACCTTTATGATGTTGGATTAAATAATGCTTTTTTCTTCTTTGTGCTAAACTTAAACTACCATTAATATTTCAGCCCCATAAAACTAATCAGCTTCTTACACGCTTCCCAAGTGAACTTTCCAAATATTCGGTGATGATAGTATTAACAATAGTGATTTTTATTGAGCACACACTATGTTCCAGGGATAATGGTTCACTGTGCCTTGCACGTATCTTTTAACACTAACAACAGCCCTACAGATAGACACACGAATGCTCCTTTACAAACGTGAGGAAACGGGAAAAGGATGAAGTAACTTTTCTGGTGGTACTGAATCAAGCCCATAACTGTGAATGCTAAATATCATACTATGATAACAACTCTCATATTGTCTTTTTAAAAAAAGTACTTTATAGATGTGTCACTACATTGGTGAGCAATAAGATTAAAACCAGGCAAATTTGACTTTGGCAGAATTAAACGACACTATCAAGAAAGGAAACCCACAGGATGGGAGAACGTTTTTTAAATCATGTATCTGAAATGGGATTAAGTTCAGTAATTCAACAACCAAGGAACCCAATTAAGAAGTGGGGAAAAGAGTTGAATAGTCATTTCTTCAGAAAAAAAAATATATGAAGGCATATGGCAACATTCTCAATATCACTAGTCATTAGGAAAATACAACATAAACAAATTTAAAGCTTATCAAAATATGACCTCATACCCACTCAGATGGCTGCAATATACAATAACAAAAACAGACACCATCAAATGTTAGTAGGGATGTGGAGAAACTGGAACCCTGGGGCATTGCTAGTCAAGATGCAAATGGTCATGCTTCTTTGGAAGACATTGTATCAGTACCTTAAAAAGGTCAACATGAAATGATC